ACGCCACGGACCAATATGACTGTTGCGGCTTGACGATCCAGAATCGTGCCAGAACGCCGTTCCTGGGACTTGAACACTGCGAATCAGCATAGCCTGGGCACCTCATAAGCCTGAGCCCTTTCAAAACACCATGTCTGGTTCGCTGATCATGGGAATCCGTGAAACTCTTGCAACTGTTTAAGACGAATGTGCGCGATAACCGAAAGTTGAAAAAAGGATCCGCCCTCAATCCGTGAGGCTCTTGCAATTGTTTAACACAAATGCGCACGGCGCTAAGGCGATAATCACATTTTGAAAACGACTCGCCCTCAATCCTTGAAGCACTTGCAATTGTTTAAAGACGAATGTGCGCGGCGCCAAGGCGAGACCCACATTTAGAAAACCACCCGCCTTCAATCCGCGAGGCTCTTGCACATGTTTAAAATGAATCTGCGCGGCGCTAAAGCGAGAACCACTTTTTGAAAACGACTCGCCCTCAATCCGCGAAGCTCTTGCAAAATGTTTAAAACGAATGTGCGCGGAGCTTGGGCGAGAGCCACATTTTGAAAACGACCCGCCCTCCATCTGTGAAACGGTAGTTAACTTTCAAGCTTCAGAATCATAAACGGTGAGGAAGTCTCAGGCGAAACGCCCGGTCCGCCCTAAAAACATGCCTCGGGGTGTAACAAAAAGAACTTCTTTATAAGGAGGATGAGTGGAAACCGTGTGCACCGATCCTGGGCCAACGACGGGCCAAGGCAGGATCGGCCCAAGCTTGCGGTGGGCACCATGCCGAGGGCCACTCGTCGCGCTCCATCTCGAAGGCAGCGTCCGCAGCCCACTGGCGCATCCCGCGCTCCGAGAGGGCGAGGATTGCGGCGCTTGGCGCGGACGAGCGCCACGACGCCCAGCAGCACGATCTCCAAGGCCCGTAAGGGGCTGCAGCACGGCGGCGTTCCGTGTCCCTCGCGCGCTCCTTGGCTCTCTGCGGCGTTCGGAGCCTCCGAAGTGGGCGAGTGCGCAAAAGGTCAACAAAAACTGCCGTCGCCCGAAGGGCCCTCGTAGCCAGCAGTAACACCACGACCGTGGCCCGCCCCCGCCATGGTCCCTTTATTTGCACAAGCCTGGGCGGGAGCGGGAATTGTCTCGGTTTGCCCGCACGGGCTGATGCGGGCGAGAACGTGGTCGACCGTGTCCCACCAAAAGCTTACATCATGTTTTGGGGGCTGGCCTCGGATCAGGGGTGTCCTTTCTCTGCCCGAGAGACAAACGCATATTGAGCCCACGGAGGAAGAGGAGGAAAAGGAGGAGGAGGAGGGGGGGGGGTCCAAGTCCAACAGGCCCAACCGAACCCGAAGGAGCGGGAGGGGGCCGAATTGGGAGGCTCCCCAAGGGGCCCCTGAGGACCCAGAGAGGGGGATCGGCTCAACGGCCGACCCGCTTATAGCGATGCCCAGACCGCCCCAAAGCCCAAACCAACGTCTGGCGGGCGGAGGGCGCCAGCCTGGAACGGAAAACGCCGCCAGAAGGGGGGTGGGGTCCAGGGCTACGCTGAACGTGGGCCTAAATCGGCCGCGCACTGTGGCCCCGCGCCGCGGGGCCGCAGTGCGCGGCCAAACCGGCCCCCTTCTCGCGCCGAGCCCCGCAGCCGCCGCAGGTGGAGGGCCAGCGGGGCCGCGCGCGCGTCAGCTCAGAGGCGCGCCGCCCAATGGCCTCGCGGGGCCGAGAGCCTCCAGCGATGGGCGGCGGTGGCTCGCCCCCTCTCGCCAGCCTCTTGACGCAGAAGCGAACGTTGGCCAAGGTCTTCGGATTCTTCGGGGGTCCGAATCGCGGGTTCTTGAGCTTCTTAATCTATTTGCCTACGCGCAGACTGCAGCAACCACGCGCGTCACAAAAGCCCGCGCGACCCCATCGAACGACGCGGCGGCCATCGCCCACGACAGGGGCCCCGGGACATTTGGAAGCAAACGGAATCTTGAAACTTTCCGCAGTCTGCGCTACATACAGACAGCTCACACACCGAATCAACGAACCATGGACCGATTCAAAGATGTGCTCAGTAATCGACAGCTTCGGGATGCACGAGGCACATCTCTTCGGGGAGCCTGAAGGGCAATCCCATGCGACTCACGGTGCATCCGAACCGCTCTGAACACCAAGGCTGCCAACTGCTTAGTCGCCTCAGCAGCTCCTTGCGGTTATCCATCAACACATTGGCAACCTGTATGTCCGCGGCCCCAGCATGTGAAAACATATCCACCCATGAATTTCCAATCACATGCGCCAGACGTCCACCGCCGTCAACGAAATCGCACAGGTCATTGTGGCTAGGTATCCATGCAAAACTGACCTCTCAACAGAGCTTCTGCGCAGCTCGAAAATGGATCTCCAGATGCTAGCGCGCGTGGATGATGCACTCGATAACGACATGCCCCACGCTTTCGCCTCCTTCTAACGCCACCGATCCACCAAGTCTTTCGTCTCTTGGAACTGACTGTTCCCAACCAAGGGGACCGCAGTATTTTGCTCTGACAGGCCATCCAACGCACGGGTTCAGGCGCACCACTGCCCTGCCAACTGCGCACAAAGCCGGGCGAGCATTATGCGGGCCCGACGCGTCGCAATACGTCGCAGCAGTCCGTTCGCCCGAGCAGCCCCCCCACTCCTGCGCAACGGGCAAGTCCGACGGCGGCCCAGACTGCAGTGGTTTCAGCGGGACACCGCAGGTGAACTCAAACGTTTTGCAGTCACCGCCGTCCTCGGCCACTTGTTTCTCGCGCCCAGCCCGGAACTTGACTGCTTCTTCAGGGGGCTCTTCTGGTAGCAGCTCCGTCTGCTCCGTCAACTTCGGGCATGCATTCCACGTGCGCGCCAGCGAACCTCTCGGCGCCTCACGGTGCATGCGTTGCCCTGGCGTCGTCAGACCGAGCTCGAACGCCCTCTGGACACGGCAAACCCCCGACCACAAGCTGCGGATCGATCCTCTGAGCGGCCCAAGCGGAAGCCTCGAGGTAGCTCTGCGCATCGCCCTTTTCCAGATCAGCTCGCCGCAGCGCTCTCTCCATCTGCCAGCTGTGGATCGATGGGGCCCACCTCTTCTCAATCTTTGGGCGTGACCCGCAGCAGACAGCGGTCGCGCCCACGGTCATCTCCAAGCACAAACGGGCTGGGCGCACTCCATCCCAATCTCCACAGCGCGAACCACACAGCGGCCACTGGACCTCTAGCATTCTGCCACGTTGGCCGCGCATTCCAGCATCTCTCCGCGACTGCCTGCCACTCGCACTGTATATCTGGCGCCAGCACTAGCTTGTCCCGAACAAAATGGCACGCCGCTTGATCAACAACGCGCTGCAAACAAATGTGATGTCGAAGCGGCCATCAATCATTCTGCGAAGCAAGGTAGAGCGGGAGCGAAGCATTGCGGTCTGCATCAATCATGCCACCCGCGAAGGTACGCAATTGCTTGAGCACAGTGTCCGCAGTGCGGCTCGCTCCCGTTCAGTGCCCTGACGCCGGCAATGGCCAGGTGCGCCAAAGCACCCCTACCTTCTCACACACCTGATCCCTCGGCATCCAAATTTGCCGCCCGCGGCCCATAAGGACATTCATCCTCTTCCTCTCCTGGAGCCTCAGAAACTTGGTGCCGTAAGGCTCGTGCCCAATATTCCGGGTGTGACGTTTGGCCAACAGACGCATACAGTTAAACCCCGAGTGAAACCCTTTGGCCGCCCAGACCGCGGTAGCAACATACCCAGATCTGCTCTGTTGGAGTATCAGACCCAGGCCTCGTAAGTCACCTGCGAAGCTCCTAACACACGTGCGCAATCCATTGGAGCCCCTTCACATCGTGTCCTTGCCATGGTAACGTAATGTTAATGATCCATCAGGGTTCGGGGCCTCACGCCAACGTAGCGCGCATGCATCTGATCCATCACTCTATACTTGACCACCTTAAGTGCAGTAGTCGCGTGCGTGCAACCAGCCAATATGCCCTGATACGATGTGATCATGACACTGGTGTTAGGGTATGCTCACACCGTACGTGGGATCATGCATGGTTGCAGGATCACCCGCATGAGCCTCGCAGGGTAGCCGAGCACGCGCGCCTCGCACATAATAGTACTCCACAATATCATCTCGCAGCACTTGCACATGTCCACAAACACCGTGATGACGCGTTGCTTGCGTGCATGCGCTGCTTCAGCCTCGAGATTGAGTTGACAAGCGCAGTCGCTAGAAGTTCTTCCCGAACCTCCCCTCCAAAGGCAAGATGAGGGCGAGCATCCTCCCACTGCACGCTAAAGGGCCGTCTCGCTCGGCCCGATGTCCTCAACCTTGAATTGAAGAGAACAATAAGGCCTGTGCCGCCGCTCGCTTTGGGCAGCATGCGCATCTCTGTGAAAAGCTGCGACAGTGGCCACAAAAGCCATCTCACGCATGTGTTGAACAACTCCGCCAGCACCTCCAGTCCAACATCTGATGTGAATCAAAAGTGCCTCGGCGGCACGCGCACCTAACCACGTCCGGTACGCCTTGCAAAAGAAGCCACCACTCTTCTCAGGTCGGCTCCACACAGAAGCGGTAGGTGCTCCCAGCTTGCCGCGTCGCTCGGCAGACGAAGCTCTTCCGCGCCGTGCAGCTGCCATACCCGCTTCCATTTCTCCAGCTCGCTATCCGCAAGGTCTGGAGGAGACGACAACTCAGTAGCATCCAGGGCCGCCTGGACTCCACGGGTACGTGTGAACCGATGCGAAACTCGTCCTCCTTCTCGGAACGCCTCCTCTGCCTACTGACTTCATGCATTCTGCTTCCCCTTGGCGAACACGTCCAAGGCCAGCTGCGCTTTTGCAATCGTCGCCTCCACGTTCACCTCGAGTTTGGTTTTCCCCAACCATCCGACACAACCTTCATTGACAAAAACTGCCAGTGCCCTCATCCAGCAACTCATGTATCCTCTTGGCCTTCACCACTTAGGAGCTGAAGTGGTTGATGAGGCTGAGGACGACGAGGGGAAGGAGGAGGACGAGGAGGAGGAGGAGGAGGAGGCCTCCCGCTCCACCGCCGCCAGGGGCCGCCGCGCGGCGGGGCGGGGAGGACAAGCGGAGCGTGGCGCTGCCGCGTTTTACTTGGCAAGGCCTTGGTGATCAGCTGTGCCAAGGGAGCTGTCTGCGTGCGGCGGAACCAGGGCCTCGCAGAACGGGAACTTCGACAAAACCAGCAGCGGGCCGAAACATCCCACTGCGTAAGAGGAAACAGAAAAACAGCTAGGTCAGCGCTGGGCTTCGAGGGAGCTGCTTGAGTGCTACCGGGGCCGCCCGAGCACTGACCTGACCAACCAGACGAGGAATTGCCGCCCGAGGGCCACAATGAGCCAGGCCAGTACTCGAGCCTCCTGGACATGACTACCTGAACGGACTCGTCCAACCCAGACGCTGACTGGACCATTTTTTCTGATCCCAATTTTCGGTCTCTTCTGCTGGATCTTGCGAAGTCCTGGCTTCTGGGGCCCTGACAGCAAAAGAAAGCTAACGACCGGCTACATCAATGGGCGGCGCGCCCAGGGGATAGACAGAGGGGACCGGCCTCCTCGGAAGGCGGCGGAGCTTCTCAGAAGGCAGGAGGGCTTCTGGGAAGCCTGGCCGCCCTCTGAAAAAGCCTGCCCACTCCCGCTTGACCCCTCGCTCGCGCCGCCGAAACAAGGCTTGGGCGCAGCGCGGGGCGCCGCCGCAGGGAGCACGCTGCAGAGACGCGCTGGGGAACGGCAGAGAGCTGCAGGTCAGCCCCTGCAGGGTGAGACGTTGAGCGCCAGTCTAACGGGGACTCCACTAACGGGTACTTTGGCCAGTGACCCTGCGAACCTAACCCTCCCCGGTGTGGGCAACGCTGCAATGCCAGGAGGGGGCCCTAAGTGGCAACTTTCGGCAAATCTCCAAAGTACCCGTTAGTGAGTACCCGTTACGGTGCCGGTGAGACGCGCTGGCGAAGAACGCCCCGCGCGGGCGCCTCCCGCGCGAACGGGTCCGCGCAGAGCGGGGCGCTGCAGGTCTGCGCCTCGGCCAGGGCGAGGGGGGGGGGGGGGGGGGGCGCCGCGCGGGCGAGACCGCGAGGCATCTCCCTCCACCACCCCTGCTTTTCACCTCCTCCTCCTCCTCCTCCTCCTCCTCCTCCTCCTCCTCCTCCATCCCTGTTCGTAGTAAGTCACTCCTCCCTGTCGCATCCCCCAGACGTGGCCGTAGGCTGGGCTGGGCGCTTCGCCCCGGACTTCCTCACACCGTCTGATCCTGACACTCGAGACCTGCAACCGTTTCAAAACATTGAGGTCGGGCCGTGCTCGACATGTGTGGCTCTCGCCTCAGCGCCGGTCACAATCGCCTTACAAGAGCGCAACAGCTTTAAGAATGGACGGCGTTTTCAAAATGCGGCTCTCGCCTTAGAGCCGCGCGCATCAGTTGCAAACGTTAGCAAGCGTCCCATCGATGCTGGCCGTCTCGTTTTCAGAATGTGTTTCTTGCGTAAACGCCGCGCACATTAGTTTCAAAGTTTGCAACAGTCCGCAGGATTCGTAGGGTTGGAGTCCCAGGATTGGGGTCCTGGCACCGTTTAGGGTTGTCAGGACGCAACAGTCACGTGTATCCGTAGTGTTAAATCCCAGGAATTGCGTTATGGCACGATTCAGGACTGGCAGAACGCGACAATCACATTGATCCGAGGCGTCGGAATCCTGGGATCTTCTTCTGGTCCTGGCGAGATATCTCGTTTTTTGGAATTTGATTTCTTGAACTCCTCGGACGGTTGGTTTTGAATCCGCTATTTCCTCTAATGAACACAAATCCAAGTAGGGACCTATGAAGAGGGAACTTGGAGAGAGGGATTCTTGCAACATCGCCGATGCGTCTTGGGCAAACACTGGTCCTCCTTCTCCTCTTCCTCCCTTTCCTCCTCCTCCTGCTCTACAATTGCACAATCTGAATGCTACTCTCCTCTCTCCCCTAATGACGTCCGGAGATATCAGGCTCCCCTCCGCGTATTGTTTTTTACACACAAGTTTCCCGGGAACTGGGTTTTCGGTTGGGTTGTTCTTCGAACCGTTGCTCCCGCTGAAGCGCTGGCCTCATTTTCGAGCTTCCGCTCGTTCCGAATCGTGCTCCCGCTGTAGCGCTGGCCTCATTTCCACGCTTCCGCTCGTTCCGAATCGTGCTCCCGCTGCAGCGCTGGACTCACTTCCGCGCTTCTGCTCGTTCCGAATCGTGCTCCCGCTGCAGCGCTGGCGTCATTTTTTCCAGTGCCATGCCACGGCATTGTTCCCGGTCCTTCCAAATAGGCTCCCAAATCTAGAAAATGCCTCCCCCCCCGAAAAAAAAACATCGGAAGTGATTACACATTCGGTGTCGGTTCGTTGACTGTTTTGAACCGCAAACCCCCCCGACCGACGTGGGGGCGTCGCCACGCCATGCTATGTCATGCTACGCGTTGATATTCAACGCCATGCTATGCCATGTAATGCCATGCCATGCTGCGACATCCGACTGTGCGGATAGAGAGGAGATCTACGCCATCGTAAGGGATGGGAGGAAGGGGTAGGACATCAGATATGACGCGAGCGCACCCAGCTTGACCCCCTCCCCTTCCCCCTCCTCCTCCTCCTCCTCCTCCTCCTCCTCCTCCTCCCCTCCTCCTCCTCTCCTCCTCCTCCTCTCCTCCTCCCCTCTCCTCCTCCTCCTCCCCCTCCTCTCCTCCTCCTCCTCCCTCCTCCTCCTCCTCCTCGTCCTCCTCCTCCTCCTCCTCCTCCTCCTCTTCCTCGTCCTCCTCCTCCTCCTCCTCCTCGTCCTCCTCCTCCACAATTACTCAATATGAATACTACTCTCCCTCTTCCCCTGATGGCGTGCTGGGAATATTCGACCCCCCCCCCGCGTACTGTTTTTGTACACAAAAGATTCCCGGGAGTTGGGTTTTCGCCAGCGTTTTTTGTTCAAAATGCTGCTCTCGCTGAGGCGCCGGCCTCATTTCTGCTCCCGAATCGTTCCGAATCGTGCTCCCGCTGCAGCGTGGGCCTCATTTTCGGATCGGTGTTTTGCCTCCGTCGTTCAGGATGGCGTTCTCGCCCCAGCGCGGGCCTCTTTCTCGCGCGCCCATCCGCCCGCCACCACCGCGCCGCACCACGCCCTGCCCCGCCGCACGCACACCCACCGCCACTTCCACCCACCAACGCACGCACGCACGCACGCGCACCACCACCGCGCACCGCCACCACCACCGCACTACCCCACCCACCACCACCACGCTACACCGCGTCACACCACATCACACGCGCGCACACACAGACACGCACGCACGCACGCACGCACGCACGCACGCACGCACGCACGCACGCACGCACGCACGCACGCACGCACGCACGCACGCACGCACACACACACACACACACACACACACACACACACACACACACACACACACACACACACACACACACACACACACACACACACCACCGCCACCACCACCACCGCCGCCATCACGCACGTACGCACCTGGCCCACCACCAAACCACCAAGACGCCACACCACGTCACACCACAGCACACGCGCACACACGCACACACACACATACACACCACCACCACAACAACCACAACCACGCACACACGCACGCACGCACGCGCACCACCACCCACTACGCACACGCGCGCGGAGCCACAGGTCCGCTACGACACGCGTCCGCGGATAGAGAAAATCAGCGCCATGGTAAGGGATGGGAGGGAGGGGTAATTAGGATGTCAGATGTTGACGCGAGCGCACCTAACTTGTCCTCCTCCCCCTCCCCCTCCTCCTCCCCCTCCTCCTCGAGCCCGAGAGCAGGAGGGCACGCGCACGGAGGGCACGGCCCAGGCGAGGGGAGCCCGCCGCGCCCCCAGCGAGCCAGGGCAGCCAGAGCGGCGCGGCGCCCGACGAGGCCTTCACGCTCCCGCGCGCCGCCTCCACCGGAGGCAGGCCGCTCGCTGCGGCCCCCGGCCGCGAGGCGCGCAGCGCGGTCGTCCTCCGCCACGGCCTGGCCGCCTCCCCTTCTCCCCTCCTCCCCTCCTCCCTGCCTCCCTTCCTCCCTCCCTTCCTCCCTTACTCCCTTCCTCCCTGCCTCCCTCCCCCCCTCCCTCCCTCCCTTCCTCCCTTCATCCCTCCCTCCCTTCCTCCTTTCCTCCCTTCCTCCATTCATCCGTCCGAGCCGACGAGCCGCGCGGGGCCTGCTGCCGCGCGGGCGCGTCACTTGAGCGGCTCGGCCCTCTGTGCGTCCAGGGCCGCGAACTTCTGCCCGATGAGCTGCGGGTCGCCGGGGCCGGGTCAGGGAGGCTGGAAGAAGAGAGTCTGCACAAGCCAAACACATGTTGGAGGTACGTGCGGACTTCTTGGGTCCGCGCGGGGGTCCCCCCTAGCATGCGGAGCGCGCCAGGGGCGTCGCCAGAAGCGTTGCCAGTGGCGCCGCCGGAGGCGCCGCTGGAGGCGCCACTGGGGAGGGCCCAGTGCAGATCCAGGAAATCTAAGCGGAGCTCCGAAAGTTTGTGCTTTTCGTAAACGGAGAATATGAAAGGTGAGGACGAGCACAAAAAACAAGGAGAACAGGGAAGGGCGACGAGGGCGCGGATACGAAGGAGCGAGCCAGGACACCGAGGGGCCGCTGCCATCCACACATCGGTCCCCGGCCCTCTCCTGGGATGCACTGTGGCCAGAATTCCAAGAGGAATCGACGGCGCCCCAGGATGACCCCCCCTCCTCCCCCCCAAAAACATCCGAAAACATCTATCCTCCATCCCCCGCGATCATCGACCCTGGATCCTCCTCCCTCGACCGCGGAAGGAGAGAGTCTGTGCAGAACGCACGGGGGGGTCGAGAGGCGCGTGAGCCCAGGCGGCCACAGGCGGGGGGCAACGACACGAGGAGGGACAAGTACGAAATGGTCGGAAGAAGCAGGTAGAAGCATGAAGCAGGAGGGCGGATATCGTAGATTGGGTCCAGGTCCTCCCAGAGAATAACAAAACGGAGCAAGAACATGTCGATTCTTGAAGTGGGAAGGCGCTTGTGAAGTAGATTGGGATCTGGGAATCCAAACATACCTACTTTCAGCGACCGGCGTGTACCGCCCTGCGGAGCCCCGGGAAACAGTGGCCACCGAGCACAGAAAGGAGAAGCCGCATCAGCAGCAGTGGCGGGATGAGAACCAGGAGTAACGAGCATACTTGTCAGAAGCAAGTGGCCCGCGTGCCACGACCATCGCACGAGGGGAAGGAAGGGGATACAGCAAGGGGGGCTGGCCCTCTGGCTGCGGTGGAGCGGGGCTGCGGTGCCGTGCCGTGCCGCGCAACATCAGAAGGTTTTGGAGCGACAGGGTGCGCGAACCGTGCGACGAGGGGTCGGGGCAGAGGCGGCGCGCGGGCTGGTGGCAGTGGGGGAGCAGGGCTGGCAGCGGTGGGGGGAGCCGGGGCAAGCTGCGGTGGAGAGGAGCGGGGGGTGGGGTGGGGTGGGGGGGGGGGGGTGGGGTGGGGGGGGGGCGCGCGCTTCCTGTGGCGTGCCTCAAAAGACGTCGGGGCGGCGGGGGCGCGCTGCCTGCTGGGGCTGGGGGAAGGGGCGCTGCGCCTGCTGGGGGAGGAGGCGATCTGCCTGCATGGCACTCTGCATGCCGAGCGAGGAGCGCGGCAGGCTGCGGGGTAGGGGGGGGGGAAACGCGGTTCTGGCGCCTTGCCCAAATAGCGAATCGGGGCGGAAGGGGCGATCTGCCTGCTGGGGCCAAGCGGCCAGGCGAGAGGGCGATCTGCCTGCTGGGGGAGTGGTGCGATCTGCCTGCCGCGAGAAGGGCGCGGCAGGCTGCAGGGCAGGGGGAGCGCGGCGAAGAAATCGTGGGGAGCTGGGGAAGGAGCGTGGCGGGCTGTGGGGCAGGGGGGCGCGGCTCTGGTGTCGTGCCTAAGCAGAGAGAACGGGGCGCGGGGGGCGCAGGGGGCGGCCGTGTGTTGAGTAGAGTAGTCGTGGTGAAAGGGGCGTTCTGCCTGCTGGTGAGGGGGGGCGGGGGCGCGAACCTGTGCCGTGCTGAAGTAAAGACGTCGGAGCTCCAGCCGCCCTGCGAAAGATGATAAGACAAACACTTAGAGCAGGAGCAGCGAGCGGAGCAGCGGCAGGAGCACAAGCAGGAGCAGAAGCAAGCGGAATCCTGAAGGTAGGGAGGAGACGCGGAAGGGGACGACGGTGCCCACAACGACAACCAAGACGAAAGCAACGAACAAGACGCCAACAACGAAGACGACAGTGGGAAGAGCGACGACGACGAGCAGGACGACGGCGAGGACGACGACGAAGACGACGACGACGACGACGAGGACGACGACGGGGACGACGACCGCAACGCCGACGACAACCACCTGCGACGGCGGCGGCGGCGACGACGAAGGGAAGCCCGAGGGAGAGCAGGACTAGACACGGAGGAACACCTCCGCTGGACACGCCGAGGCTGGACACGCCAGCGCTGACGCGGCGCGAAATACCGCAGGCCCCTCACCGTGCACCGGACGGCGGCGATCCTCCAACGGCGCCGGCAGCTCGGGCGCGACGCCCAATCTCGGGCGCACGCTAACATGGACTGCAGTCGGGCCGCTGAAAGGAGGAACGCTAGATAAGGAACGAAGCCCCTCTGCGGCTTCAGAAGAGCCTGGGCGCACGAGGAGGGCTGGAGGAGCAACCACGGAAGGACGTAAGGAACATCGAGCCCCTTCCGAATCCAAGCTGTTCCTTGTTTCAGCGTCTTGGCTGTACGATTCCTTGGATCTGCGCCAGGTGCACGGATCGGAGAGACACCGTCCCGAAAGGTTCGGGGATGGACAGACCCCCCTTTAGGAGAACGTGGTTTAGTGAGAACGACCTGAGGCCCAAACCTGGCGGGCGCAAGCCTGGAAAATGGCGGCCACGGCGCCCTCTCGAGAACCGAAAACGGACAATTCACTAATCGACTGTCCACCCACGAGAGGTGGGGCCGGCGCCGCTCGCTTCGGGCCCGGCGCGCGCCGACTCTGCGCGGGAGCGGGGCCCGTCGCCAACGTGGAGCGGAGATGCTTGCAGCTGGGGCCAGGAGCACAGCCAAGACGCTGAAATAAAGAACAGTTTGGGTTCGGAAGCTGGCCATCGCTCGGACGTCCATTTCCTGTGCTTTGTTCGGTTTCGTGTGTGGATTTTTCGCGAAATGATCCAGGATGCTCCTCGATGGTCCTCGCCGAAAGAAAAAGGCACACGTCCGAGCGATGCCACGGAAGGGGCTCGATGTTCCTCAGGTTCCTCCAGTGCTGTTCCTCTTGCCCTCCTGGGGCACGGAGGCGCTCACGGGGCCAATAAGGGGCTTCGCTCCTTACACAGCGTTCCTTCTTGCAGCAGCCCAGCTGTAATAAGTGCTTGAGCGGCCCAAGATGTCCAGAACCACGCCTCTCAACATCACACAAGTCACCGCAGGCAGCACGACCTGGAACGCCAGAGCTCCGTAGCCGCCGCAGCCGCCGAGGATGAATGATATGTGCTTTGCCGCTGGGAGCCCTGCGCCCACTCCGACCTTAACAGTTGCGGGGCTACACGACAGGAGTCCATGCGGCTTTACTTCCATGTTTACGTTTCCACGGCGCTCGCAATGAGATAAGGCGTTTCGACCGAAGCGACTGCCCAACTGACCCCGCTTCTCGCGCCGACGGGGGCTCATGCCGTACAAACACGGTTTGCAACATTCTGGTCAGCAGCGACGGCGGTCGAAAGTGCGTTCAGAAAGCCGGCGGACCGCGCCGGGGCACACGGCACACTAGTAGGGAAAGAGAAGGGAGGCCGCGGAGGAGGGACGCGGGGGGGCCTCAAGCGTGAGAGTCTTCGCCACGAGGTGTGCGCAGGCAGTCTCAGGCACCGAAAACCGTTGTACTGAAAGGTGAGCGGTCAGCGCGAGCTGCCGAAGGGGGGAGGCGGCGACGGTTTGCAATCACATCGTCGCAGGACTTGCGGATGCAAGCATGCACTTGTCGCGGCGTATGCTCTGACGCCAGGCGGAGTGATAAACTGCGCAGTTGAGGGCTGTTTGGTTTCATCGCCGCGTTCCTTCCCTTGCCCTCGACCTAGCGCAGCAAAGCTGCGTTGATGGGAGGCTTGAGGCTCTTCGCGCTGGCCGGGCGGTTAGCTCCCCCTCCAGCCTTTCCTACCTGATTGGCCTGGCAGCGATTCGCCGAGGCCGCTCCCAGCCACAGTGCCGATGAAGAACAAAAAAACGGTCCACAAGCGAGGCACCGCGGTGCCCCAAGACTTCGGGCTGGGGTGGTCGTCGACGTCCTGCGCAAGCAGGCAGGCGGTGACAGCATTGCCATGCACGCACGGCCAGGTTGATGCTACCGAGTGCCAGCCCCACCCCCCCGCGCGAGCATGGCTTCCACACCCGACGCATCAAAAACGTCGGCAGCGGCACGGCGCAGGACGTCATGCCCCAGCTGAGTTCCAGGGCCAGCGACTCCCGACCGACAGCAGGCGGTTGCGGAGCTGCGCCGTCCAGGACACTGCTGCTCGCGTGAAAAGCGGCCCCTAGCCAAAGAAACATGACTGCCCATGTTGGACATAAGGCATAGGTTGATAACTCTCGGTTCTCCGTCGCTGTATGGTCGCTTCCGAGCCACGCATCCATCGCAGAGCGCAGGGGGGGACTGGGAAGGAGCATGCCAATCCTTGGCAAAAGCAATGCCCAACTTTTTGGCCGCCACGATCGCCGCGACGACCTCCAATGCCGATCTGGAGGTTTCGTTCGTGGCCGAACGGCACGCAGCGAGCTGGGGCTACCCCTCAAGCGGGCTGCTCCCTTCCAGGGGGAGCTCATCCCACGCGGGCGACCACGTGTGCACGCAGATGACTTCGTCGTCCACCCTGCGCGCACGGAGGGCAAACACCGCGCACAGAGCGACCCTCCGCTTCCCGCGGGTCGGCCCGCGCGCGAGCGGCCCGCCGCGCGCCTGCACCCAAGAGTGCACGCACTGCGCCATCGATCCGAAGCCATCCGCAGCCTTGGGCTTCAAAACTGATCTTGCACAGTCGACCTCCTCCTCCTCCTCCTCCTCCTCCTCCTCCTCCTCCTCCTCCGTGAGCGATGTCTGCAAGGTTGACGCCAGACGCTCGCGCCTCGGCATAGCATCGAGCACCTCCCGCGAGAGGGGGGGCTTCGTCCAGGTGCCGTGAGCTGCACTGCGCGTCTCTGTTCGGGGCGGCTGTCATGTCTCAGTTGCGCCGCTGTGTCGCCTGGGCGATGAATGAAATCGAGGACGCCCCAG